TTTTTTTGAGACAGGGTCTCACTATGTAGTTGAGACTGACCTGGAACTCACTATGTAGCCCAGGCTGGTCTCTAACTCAGCGATCCTCCTGCCTCAGCCTCCCAAGTGCTGGAATTACAAGTGTGTGTCACCACACCCAGCTTCAAAAGCATTTTAATCACATTTCAGATGACTGCTTTAAAGTTAAGTCTAGGAAGACATGAAGCAAATGTTATCTTTATTATTAAGCATAAAAAGTAAAGAAGTAATTTAGCATATTGACTCATCCAGTTTTTGAGCTTAATTGCTTTTTTTTTTTTCTTGGTACTGGGGATCAAACCCAGGGGAACTCTACCACTGAGCTATGTCCACAGTCCTTTATTATTATTATTATTATTTTTTTAATTTGGAAACAGGTTCTTGCCACTACATTGCCCAAGCAGGACTCATACTTGCACTACTCATAGTTGCAGTCCTGCTTCAGCCTCTCTCCGTATTAAAATTACCGGCATGTGCTACAATGCTTGGCTTCTAGTTGCTTTATTTTTTTTTTTTATTCTTTAGTTGCTTTATTTATAATTGGGAAAGGAGGCTTTATTTCTAGCACTGAGGGTGGAAGATGGAAGCCAAAGAAAAACAGGACAGAAAAAAATAAAAGAATTGAGCCTTCAAACAAAGGTCTGAAATAGTACCTGTCTTTTTATAGAAACATTTGTTATCTCAACAGTTTTATTGTGTTAGGAATGCACAGTTGGTTTAGCTGAGTGGTTCTGGCTTGGGTAACATTTAAGATATCAGTTGAGACTGTCATCTGAAAGCTTGCCTGGTTCTGCCGCCCCGCCTGCAGGGTGACTCAGACTCCTGTGTCTGGCAGATTGAGGCTGGCTCTGGTTCCTCACCATATGGACCTCTTTGTAGGGCTACTGAAGGAACCTAAAAGCATGGTGACTACTTTCCCATAGACAGAATCATCCAAGAAACAGCAAGGCAGAAGTCTCAGAAGTCACACTCAGTCATTTCTCTAAATCTTATTGGTTATCTCTATTATTTTGGGAGAGATTGTCATCTCAAGAGGCAAGAATTGCTGGAGGCCATCTCAGAGGCTGTTTAGCACCCTACTTTTTTGCTTCAGATGGTAGAGGTTGGAGGGAACCTAACCTAATTCTAGTTGTCCTCTAATTTTTGTTACTCTATATCATTCCTTTATTTATTTGGTCCTGGGGAATTGAACTCAGGACCTTGCGCTTGCAAGGCAGTCAGGGAACCACTGAGCTAAATCCCTGGCCCTATATCATTCCTTTAAATACTCTGTCAAGCTGAGCATGATGGTGCACACCTATAATCCCATCATTCTGGAATGCTGAGGCAGAAGGATCACACACAAGTTGAAACTCAGTTTGGACATCCTAGCAATTTAGCAAGACTGTCTCAAAACAAAAAGTAAAAGCTGGGATGTAGCTCAGTGTGAAGGCCCTGAGTTCAATCCTCAATTCGCAAACAAAGCAAAACAAAACATACAGATAGATAGATAGATAGATAGATATCTGATAGATCGATCTGTGTGTGTGTGTGTGTGTATTTGGAAGGGGGGGGGTACCAGGGTTTGAACGCAGGTTCTAGTGCTTGTGAGGCAGGCAGCTGAACCACTGATCTAAATCCCCAGATATATATATATAAATTTTTTTTTAATTCTTTTTTTTTTTTTTTTTTTTTTTTGGTACCTAGAATCAAACTCAAGACTGTGCTTACAAGTCAGGCATGGTGCCACTGAGCTAAATCGCCAGCCCATTGCTTTTATAGTTTCGAACAAAAAGGATGACAGAAAGATTGGCTAAGAGGGAAGGATTATGTTGCAGAATTAGAAATCTATAGTCTGGCTCTTTGGTTTATAGGACCAAGCAAGGCTTATGTTTTTTCACCCAGAGTTGATCAGGCTGGGAAATTGAACCAAGGACAAAATACCTTAGGAATCAGATAAATTTATTCAGGGAGAGGAAGGGAGGAGGAAAGGAGAAAAAGTAAAAAGACTTAAGATGTGTTATGTATAGGCACCAACTCCCCATTCTGAATATAATCATTATGTACTGCAAACATGTACTAATAAAAAAATTTTAAAGATAACAATTTATTCATAGTAGGAACCATGACTGGCTAAAAGAAAGGCCTGCAGCTGGGCATGGTGGCACAGGCCAACAATCCCAGCACTTGAGAAGCTGAGGCAGGAGGATTGCAGCGAGCTCAAGGCCAGCCGGAATTACATAGTGAGACCCTGTCTCAAAAAGCAAATCACCCCGCAACAAAAAAATGAGAAAGAGGCCTGTGTTGTGGAACAGGATATTAATGGGAGGACAGAATACAAGAGAAGATGCTGTTGACCTCTAAAGGGTTATTAAGTTTGTTGGATTCCTCCCTCACCTCTGTTTGAGGTGCTGAGGGTGAAACCCAGTACCTCACGCATGCTGTCTTAAATACTGTACCCGTGAGCCACAACACCAGCCCTGTTTTTCTCAGGGAGGAACTAGCATCCCTTCTCACGAATAGACATATATCTTTTGCCTTGCAGCTTGCTTACTTTGGTTATGTTTTTGTACTGGGAATTAACACCAGGGAGCTTATCTCCAACTTTTTCATTTGTTTTTGAGAAAGG